GTCAAAGTTGGAGTCGGAGAATGCAACGCTGAACAAATCCAACGCCGAGCTGAGAGAGCGGACGGAGCGGCTTGAAATGCAGAGCCGCAGATACGACCTTCGTGTGTTCGGATTATCTGGTGACATTGGAAAAACTAACCTGACTACTTATATGGACACGCTGTTTAAGGATTTGTTCAGAGGAAAACTTATGCAGGAGCCAGAAGTGGAGTTGGCGCACTGGATTGGACCTAGGAGAGACGCAGTAGGAAGAGCGATGATGGTGCGGCTGCGGAGGCTTACAACAAAGGAGGAGATTATAAAGATGGCCAGAGAAGAACGGGTTTTCCAACTGCGTGGTATGAAGCTGAAGATGTTTCCAGATCTGACCAGTGAAATGGCGAAAAAACGAGCTGGCTTCTGGGAAATAAGGAGTAAGCTGAAGAAGGCTCAGGTGAGACACGGCCTGATTCATCCCGCTACCCTGATTCTGACTTTTAAAGATGAGACAAAAAGGACCGAGTGAGGCTGAAGCTTACTACAGGACTGTGATTGATCCAGGGATGAAGGATGGAGAATAATATGGACCAATTAAAAACAGTTTAATGAGTGTGAAGATGGACTGTGAGATTACTGTTTAGGTTATGTGAGGATTATGTTTAATTTTTATATAAATATTAAATAACATCGCAAGATGGAAATGATAGCCTGCATAATGAGAGTTATATAATTTGGTTATTTATGTGTCTAGAGCTGGTGTGTAAAATGTTTTATTTCATTACAGTGTTTGAGTTTGAGATGAATGACAGTATGAATGTGTTTGGTAAAATTATAAAAATGTTACAGGAAGCTCAGTATGATTTTTGCAGGCAGGAGTTTATTCTGGATTTTGGATGACAGATCATGTTTGGTTGCGGGAAAACGGGTTTAAAATAGCTCATTTGAATGTGTGCAGTTTGAGAAATAAGGTGGCGGATATTCAAGAAATTTTGCAGTTATAATTAACATGTGTTAGCAATATCAGAAACACATTTAGATGACACAATTAATAATGAAGTAGTAGAGGTTAGGGGCTATAATATTTATAGACTAGATAGGAGTTTGTATGGTGGAGGTGTGGCCTGTTATGTCCAAAATCACATACCAGGTAGAGTAAGAACAGATTTCATGGTAACTGAAGTAGAGACACTATGGTTAGAATAGCAGATTCCTCATTTAAAAGCTGTCATTATTGGATGTTGTTACAGACCACCGAATGCTCCTACATACCACTTGGATCAGATAGGAGGTATGTTGGATAAGGCATGTGATCTGAGAGAAGAAATCTTTTTCCTAGGTGACTTTAATACAGACTGGAAATCAGGGAATTGTCCATTGAGGAATAAATTGTTTTCATTTACCAACATTTGTAATTCATCACAACTCGTGCAGGCTGATACTAGAACTCAGATGAAAAGTAATGGCAAATTTTCTACAACTTTGATTGACTTAATTTTTACCAATATGACAAATTTATGTTCTAATGCAGTTTCGATTCCAGTGGGCTGTAGCGACCATAATTTAACTGCGGTAACAAGGAAAACAAAGATGCCTAACAAAGGCCAATTATTTGTGTGCAGACGGATGTTTAAATACTTCAGTGAAGATGACTTCATAGAAGATGTGAGGAAAATAAGTTGGACACAGGTTTTAAGTGAAGATGATCCATGCCAAGCAGTAGCAGTTTTCAATGAATTGTTCACAAAGGTGTTAGACAGACATGCTCCTATGAGGAAAAGTGCTGTGAGAAGGGTATCTGCTCCATGGTTGGATGAAGAATTAAAAGAATATATGAGGCAGAGGGATAAACTTAAAAATGAAGCAGTAAAAACGAATAGTCCAGACAAATGGAAAGAGTATCGTAGATCACGAAACTTTGTAACTAAATTAAATAATCATAAAAAACGGTTGTATTATCAAAAACGACTAACTGATGCAAAATCGGATAGTGCAAGATTATGGGGTACATTGAATGAAATGATGGGTAGGCGTAATAGGTCAGCTCCAACTTTTTTGGATGTAGGGGGAACTTATCTCACTAAACCAACAGAAATAGCTAATTATTTAAACCAGTTTTTAACTAATAAAATTAAGTTGTTGCGAGGTTCTATGGAAAATAGTCAAACCAAAAATATTTCCTATCAACTAATTAAATAAAAAATAATGTTAATTAAAAACTGCCAATTTCAATTTGATAAAGTGACTGAAGACAAGGTTAAGGAGATAATATTAAAAAGTAAAAATAAACCATCTGGCATAGATAATATTGATATAAAATGGTTAAAGTTAGTAGTATATTTTATTTCATGTCCTATCGTTCATATAATAAATGGAAGTTTTAAACAAGGTATTTTCCCATCTCAATGGAAAACAGCAAAAATAATTCCTTTAATTAAGAACAATAGAGAACCACTGTCTGGTCAAAACAATCGACCAATAAGTTTGCTACCAGCGTTAAGTAAAATCATGGAAAAAATTGCATATGACCAAATTCAAGATTCTTTTGAGGTAAATCAGTTGAACACAAAATATCAACATGCTTACAAAACAAATCACTCAACCACTACTGCACTTATTCAAATAACTGATTATTGCTTAGAGAATATCGATAATAATAAGTTAATTGGTTCTATATTTCATGATATTTTATTACAAAAACTTAAACACTATGGATTTCATACATCTGCTCTTAACTGGACTAAAGGTTATCTGACAGTATCAATTTTATTTCAGTGGCAGTTTTTCTGAAAAGGGTCTGATGGAATGTGGTGTTCCACAGGGAAGTTGTTTGGGACCACTTTTGTTTTCTATTTTTTTGAATGATTTTCCGTGGGTGCTGCAACATGCGACTACAGCAGTATATGCAGATGACATTACTGTTTTAGCTTCAGCACATACGGAGAGTGCATTGAATGAAATATTAAATGAAGAGTTAAGAACAGTCGAGCAGTGGATAACTGCTAACAAACTAGTGATTAATGCAGGAAAAACTAAATGCATGGTAGTTGGCTCCAAACATACTTTACAGACGATGCCAAAGTTACATTTAACCCTGAGTAACAACATAATAGAACAACTAGAAGAAGTAAAATTACTGGGAGTAATAGTTAATTGTAAATTATCATGGACAAGCCAGATTAATTATGTTTTACACAAAATGGGGAGAGGTATGGGCATAATTAAATTTTGTTGCAAATTTATACCACAATATTTACTTAAATGCCTTGTTCAATCATTAGTGCTTTCTTGTGTAGATCAAGCATCTGTTATTTGGACCAGTACAAGTGAAAATAATTTGCATAAGCTACAAGTAGCACAAAATAAAGCTGCTCGTATTGTTTTAGGCTGCCCTTACAGAACGAATGTGGGAACCATGCATGAAAAACTTGCTTGGCTTGATGTGAAGAGGAGATTGAAGTATTTCTTGGTAACAACTGTGAGGAAAATAATAATTACAAAAACACCAAAAATGATACATAGCAAATTATTGTTTTTTTCAGATAATCATACTTATAATACACGACAGATAAATGAGATGAAGTGTGTTTTACCACGCAGTAGAACAAATCAAATTCAAGGATCTTTTCACTATAAAGCTATGCTTGCATGGAATGCATTACCTAGATTTTTAATTTTTGAAAGTAATAACTTTCTTTTCAGAAGAAACTGAAATTTTTTTTGTTTACACACTTAATTGTATAGTGACTATGAACTCTACAACGAAGGATTGAGAATCTGTGTTTGAGGTCGAATACTGGATATTGATGAACTATGATACGAATCAATGGACATGATGTCACCATTCTGTTATATTTTATTTTCCATCTTTATTGGTGTGATTAACTCCTTTCCCGATATTAGTTTATATATGTCATTTTGTTCTAGATATGTGATTTCATCTTGAGCTACTGGTATTATGTGAATTAGGGATGTGTGTGTGTGTGTGTGTGTGTGTGTGTGTGTGTGTGTGTGTGTGTGTGTGTGTGTGTGTGTGTGTGTGTGTGTGTGTGTGTGTGTGTGTGTATAGGGTATTATGTCATGTAAACAATTGTATGAAAATGTATGAGACCCCAGGAAGACTAGCATCTGCACTTAGGCAGAAGCTAATGAGGATCTCAATCAAACGAAACGAAACACTCTACCACTAGGCCACTGAGCTGGTCAAGGACCATGCACTAGCTCACCCTGCTTTTGTTTACCTGTTTCCTCTCAAACGATGCATCACACACAGCTCGTCTAAGCCTACTTTGTATGTTTGGGGTGGTGATTTACAGCCATCAATGGTGCGTTTGCATTTAAGTGACATTTTAAACGTAAACTATTACAGTGATAGGAAAAATCCTCTTGGCAGTGATTCCAAACCAACTGTGCCAATTAAAAGAGATTAAAAAGAAAAATGTCTGTGGAAAAGATTTTCACATTCTCCTGTTTTTAATTCAAGCTTCGCCCTAAATGATCCAATAGGTTAATGACCAAGTTCACTGGTCTTTTGACCCATTTGCAATGATCTCTAATATAAATGAATGCCTCATGAGTCTATGGCCCAATCTCAATACTCGTACTTTCACCCTAGCGTCCTTCAAATGTGCAATCCTAAACCAGGGGTGTGAGTGCGTAGGGTGTCCCAATTCTCAAGTGCGGAAGTCGATCACGCCCCTTTTGCACCCTTGATGCGCACGTCGTCCAAGCGATGTGGACTTGGGTGATGGGTATTACCCACAAGCCATTGCTACGGGAGAAATGGCTCATGTTCTTTTTCTGAAAATATGTATTTTCTAATGAAAGTTGTTCTTTTTAGGACTATTAGTTGATGCTCTGAATGTAGAAGAAGATAAAGAAAAAGAAGAAAAAGAAGAAGAAAAAGAAGAAGATAAAGAAAAAGAAGAAAAAGAAGAAGTAGAAGAAGAAGAAGAAGAAGAAGATTAACGAGCTAAAATGAGAATGAAAACAACCCTTTTAGGCCTACTCAACTCAAACCCTACCTGAATCTTTATGGGCCAGGAGAAGTTGCTGACATACACAAAGAAAGTGATGTTGGGGCTGTTGCGGAAATCAAAGTTCTCGTTGGAGAAGCTGTCCTTAAACTCCTTGATGTTACTTCGGGAAACAATGGGAATCTCCTCTCCGGTCTGGGTGCCAGCTGAATGATAAGAAGGTGAACAGAACAGAAAGAAATGGTGGAGGAGAAAAGGCACAGGATGCCAGGAGATAAAATATGTAAAGATGCAATAAAAAACTGAACAGATGTTAATAGTTGTAAAATACTTACAAACTTATTAAAAACTCACAGAAGTTTAATACCAAATTTAAAAATAAATGACACAAATGAAGTTGTAAAGATGTTTTTCATCAGATTTTAGAAATCCCTAACCCTCATACCAGCCAGAGAACTTCTGCTGTAATGCTGTGGGATTTAAAAAGAGTGTGTTCTCAATAAGACTAAATGGGCAGAACAACACAGCATGGCCACAGCACCCTCATGGAAACCAGGTGAAGAGTTTCCAGCAGATAGAAAGAAACATCGTCCTCTCCGGTTTGCACTAATGAAGGCTTCTACCTGCAAGCTGCTCCTACAGATGTTTTCATCATAAAAAACACAAGGTCTGTGCTCCGATTCAACCAGAACACAACGGCTCGAGCAGACTCTCTGTTAAACTAAAGTTGGACATCTGAAGTGTGAAGCTGCTGCACACCTGTGAAACTTGTGGCCCAGGTGATGTTCAGGTTGAAGTTCTTGGAGGCATTTATGAACATGTCCAGATCCCGATTGGGCTGCAGGCAGAGCAGATGCACACAATCAATAAGAAATAAAGGAAACTTTAAAAGTATTTATTTTCCTGGACCTAGTGATAGTGATAGAGGTTTGATGGACAGAGACTGCATCTGCAACTTTCTGTTGTTCAGGTTCAGTGCTGGATGCCACTGCTGGGTCATCAGGACCTCTGTGTGACTGGGATCATTGATCTCTTTAATGGAGAACACCACATAGTAGAAACGCCTCTTCAGGGATACGTTTAACACGCTAAAACTTCATAGGAAGTAAATCAGGTTTTTGGTATGAAACCTCTGGTCAGACGTTAGGTGGTGTTTGGTGCTACGAGTTAAATGTGTGATGTAACCAATCCCCAGTGAGTAAAACCTTTGAAACTTAGTTCAACACATAAGGAAAGCCCAACTAGGAGGAAGAACCTGTAAAGACTGTACATCTGTGAGTGCAGCCCTAAAACCGGAGTCTCTCAGTGGATTGGGCTTTTCCACAAAAATCAGGAAAAAGTCCACGTTTTCTACAGCCAGGAGCCTCCGCAGTGTGCAGAAGATTCATACGCAGCACAACAACAGTAGCATGCAGGTCAGGAATCCGTCATGGAGCTCCCAACAAGAGCAGCAGATTATTGGACAGGACTTTAACACACCTCCGGGGCGACGTCCATCACTTATGCTGCGATGCTAACTCCACAGATCTACGTTCTTTATAAGTTGTACCTGGTAGTAAAGGTGACTTAATCAGGCTTTCCAGTGATGTTTGGTTTGCTACCATGAGCCCTTATTAAAGCAAGCAGCTAATCAGCCAAAGATGGCGGTGGTTGTTTAATAGTTTGGTCAATGTGCAGGTGTGACAAGTTCAGGTATGTTTGACAGAGTAGTGAAGACACTAGCGATGATCTTTAGGAAGCAGCAAAGATCTAAACCAAGCTAGTGGCCTGATGTCAGACATACCTCCTCTGGAGTGGCCACAAAGTTGATGGCTGTGTAGTATCGGTCATCCTCCTGAGACAGGCTGAAGGTGAACTGGTAGTCGATGAGGAGCGTGTCTACAGCAGAGTGAGAGAGGAAGGAGAAAATAGAAATGTTGGCAGATGATGTTGCAGGAAGAGAATAAGAACCTTCACTTTCTCCATCTGATGCCATGTTTGGACCAGAACTTCACAAAGTGCTTGGTGGTAAAGAGAACATATCAGTGTAATAATGGGTTTCACGTGTTTTAGAAGGGGAAGGGATTATGGTAGCCTTTCTGTTTCACCTTTTTTCTTCTGATCCACAGACACAAATGTGTGTCTAGCTTCTCTCTGATTTTAATGACCAGCACAAGAAAAGCCGTTTTCTGTGCAGGTGAGCAAGCTGCCTTTTCCCAAAATGGTGCCATCTTTTTCATCCTGGTCACACTTGTGCAAAGAAACAAATGGCCATCACCCAGATGAATACTGAACTGGTGGCAGTACAGCACAACTAAGCGTTTAAAGACTTTGATGAAACAGCCTTTCTCTTCTGTTCCATCTGATTCTGAGCCATAAAGCCAACAGAGATCCAAACTTGTCTCATGTTGGTGAGATCGTCATCAAAGCAGACTGACAGGTGATCCTCTTCACCGGAGCATTGCTTTCAGACTGAGGTCCTCTTCTGAGCCCCAGACAAGCTGGTTCCCAAAGTCAGAGACTCTCTTGGTCAGCTTGCTTCTCACACCAACCCCTCTGTCAGGCATCTTGAGCCCTTTTTACAAGACCCACCGTGCCGGGCCGGCAAATCGGTGTAATATTACAGCAACGGTGTGTCTTATACACGCGCCATGCCGGCATGGAGTGGCACGAATTTTGCAGCATTCGTTCCGCCTCGCTTGGTGGTAATACTGCGGTAATGGTCTGCCTTATAAAGAGCTGCTGTGCCATGGCGCAACAGAGGGAGGTGTCATGATGGCGTTGGGAGTTAATGACGAGCTGCAGCGCTCTGAGCTTCTCTGTTAGAGCTGAAGCTCAGATCATCAGACTGCACGGGGACCGATGGGGACGGACAGCTTTAGGAGCGTTAAAAAAGTTGTTAAACAAAACTTAACGATCACGGCTTCAATCGCAATAAAAACCAAGTTATGTCCAAGATAAACGGATCCCCGGCATCAAAGAGAGTCCCCATAACCCCTTCATGCCACCATCACATGGTGGCTTAAGAAGGACATGATTGTGCCACATTACCGCCGTGGTCTGACCACTTATAAACGAATGAAGGGTCCCTGACGCCGCCACGGCGTTGAGGCAAATTGACGGCATTGTTTTGTAAAAACAGCTTTGGTGTGACCTTTGACCCAGCTCTCATCCTGGATTCTGTTCTGGTTCATGTTCTCCTTTAAACATCTAACTCCTCTGATCACAGAGCCGTGCATCCGCCTGTTCCCTGACTGTCAGACAGCTTTCCTTGTGTGGATCTTAGCTCAGCAGGCAACTTACAGTAACATGTCCCTTTGAGGGGGTTGCCTTGGTAACGACTCTCCACTTCACACCTGAAAGACACCGGTGCAGGATAAGTGAAACAAACATGAAGCACAAAGAAAATTTCAGAGATAAAAAAGTGCAACAGGGAGGAGTGTGAAGACAAAAGAGTGAGCCTGGAACTAACGAGAGACCTCTGCCAGCAGAAAAACTAAAAACAGCCTCATGACCATTCATTTGTGAAACTTTAGCTCAGGTTTTTAATGGATTTCCCAGAATTGCTATGATAATGAGGAGCAGGGGAAAGATAAGCACTGAAATTATTACAGTGGTGTGCTGAAGACCTCAGGACACGGCGAGTCTGTTTAAATTCAGCGTATGAACAAGTGGGTGGGCTGCGAGATCCTCAAATAATGGATCAGAAAAGGAATCTGAAGTGGTTCAGTAGTTTGGTGTGTGAGAGAAAGGCTCAGGACTGTGAAACATCCCTTTAGAAGGTGGTCATATGCAGATTAGTGTCTGCAAAACCTAGTCCAGGTGATGAGCTCAATAAATGTTGTTGGTTTCAAACATCAAACACATCCCAGGACATTCATGGAACCAATCTGACACACTTGTGACCAGAAGAGGTTAGCCTTGCAGCTCTGGCATTTACCAATCCTAATAAAGCTTGGTTTATGCTTGACGCATTCACTTTCCGCGCGGTGATGCGGCTCGCGGATGGAACGCGCTTCACCACTCGCAGCGTTTATGGTTCATGCGGCTCGTCTATGCGGTGAGCCAATATTCTCCCAACCTGTAGGGGGCAGCATGGAGCTCTACGGCATGCATCCAACACTACACCATAGTAGAAGTAGAAATTACTGTTTACAACATGGCATTCCAGCATTTTTAACAGCGTCCTCGTCTTTTCTGACAGTGCGAGCTTTTTCTCTCCAAGAATTATTAACAACATGTTGATCACGGTGATCTCTGAGAGCTGAATCATACAAATGTCTGTATTTACGAACCTCTGCCATACTAGTTCTTGCTGGTCCACCATGTTTTTCCGCGTCCGTCCGTCCACGTGGTTAGAAATTTTCCGAGGTGCGCGTTGCGGAAATTCTGGGCCGTGCGGAGACGCGGTGGAGGGGCGTGGTTGTTAAAATGACGCAACTTTTCCGCGCGGAGCCGTGCGGACCTCGCGGACGCGTCAAGCATAAACCAACCTTAAGGGTCTTTGTCGGTCTGTGGCCACAACCTCATTAAGCTTAAATAATATTTGGCTTTCTTCACATTGTTTAATGTCAGGTCTGAATCAGAACTGAAGCTTTTATCTTCACATAAACCGTTCCAGTCACCAGATCCTACCGCTTGGACCAGGACTAGGGGTTCAATAAGGCTCTCTTACCAAGAGCACAAGTGTCACAAACAAAAACATCATCTGACAGGAAGCATTTCACTTACCCCTACTGTCCACCAGAAGCAAAACCTCTGCAAGACATGCTTCACTGCTATTAGCCGCTGTTACCGTGGATGGACGCATACATGTTTCTGGCACGTCCCAGAAGCATAAGGGTGTGCTGATTACATCTCACATCTAGTTTTTACACCCTACGCTTCAAGAATATGTCAAGTTCCGCAGCTCAGATCGGGCCAGACAGGAAGTCAAACACGAAAGCAGTGTGAAACATCTGGAAACTTTCAAAATAAAAGTCACGTGCAGATTTTGTTAGCATGTTATTTCCAGTGAAACCTCCCTAATGGAGGTTAACAGAACAGAACATATACCGCAGAGCGGGGTGTTGCCGTTCTCCCGTGATTTGGCGACCTCGTGGGACTTGCTGTGTGGAACGCTTTCACTATCATTTCACATCAGAAATGCTTCCAGTTGGAAGGACGCTCTCGGGTAACGACCTCTATTATGTTACACACATCTGGTGGTAAAGTAGGAGTAAGGGTACAAGTAGACGAAAATGTTCAGGGTCAAAGGTGAAACTCACAGATGACATCGGTCTCCTTTGATGCCTTTAGTGGTGCAGAAGCACTTCCCATTGTTGGGGTTACACATGCTGGCGTGGCCGTTGCATTTACAGGCTGTGTAAAAAACACATCAACAGCAATGATATAAGTACCACCTGTACAAAGAAGGCGTGTCATATTTACCATCATACAACACATACTAGCAATCATTCTATAAAATCATACATGTGATGGATTACACATAGCCTGTTAATGGTTTGGTCAACATTATCAAGCACTACTGCTCGTAGTTCTGGGGTTTTATGCATCAGGTCAATATGTGGTCCTGATGGGGACTTTACTGTGGTTAAAGTACAAACTCTGATGTACTACAGCATGTAGCATAACACTACATGTCTATTTGTATGTACACCACAAAAAGAAAATCTATGTTCAGCCCTCGATTCAGTTGCTCCAGAAGCCACCTTCAGCAGGAAGAACCAAGTCATAATTAGGGTCTTGGTCGGTCTGTGGCCACAACCTCATTAAGCTTAAATAATATTTGGCTTTCTTAACATCTTCATCCCATTGGGACCATTTCTGTCATTTACAATGGTTTCTATCTTTGCAGAAAAACTGAACTGGTCTATCAACACAGATGATCTGTATAAGAAGGGCCGAAGCTGTCTACACCTCCTGAGTTGATTCCCATCTGCTAAAATCCTTTTTTCACTCTGTTGTTGGTTCTGTTATCCACTCTGCTGTGGTCTGTCTCAGACCGAGACAGGAAGAGACTGAACAAGCTAGTTAACAAAGCTAGCTTGGTTCTGTGCTGTCAACTAGATTTGGTTGAGGAGATGTGTGAAAGGGGGATGCTAGAGAAGATGACCTCTATCTTGGAAAACCTCTACCACCCACTGCATTCCACTGTGGAGACTAGAGTTGTCATGGTGTGAAAATTTAACCTCATGGTTATTGTCACCAAAATTATCACGGTTTTCGGTATTATTGTGGTATTTTTTTTAAACGTGCTACATTTTCAGACAACTACATAAACCCTGTATGTCAGGAACATGTTGTCCTCGGTTTGTGTCTAAATTTTGTCTAAAATTTGATATTTTATAATTATGTTGTTTATTTGTTTCGGGGCATTACGGGGCTCCCCTGGGAGCCCCGTAATGCATAGCGTCATTTCAACATGGGGGCGTCCGCGACACGGTTTATATGCAGGTAGCGGCGCTGCGGCTGCTTTATATAGCGACTCGTTGCATTCTCCCTCAACCCAAATCCTCGGATCACGCATTTTAGCTAAAGCGCTAACGTTAGCTTGCCTTGCGTTGACTGTAGAGTTGTGGGTGATGGTCACGCAGATGTGTCATGAGATTTGAAGCGTTGCTGCCTTTCACAGACACTTTTTCTGCACGTGCTGCAAACAGGATAGCCGTCTTCTATCAGCTGTCCCTCGGCATTCTTCAAATATCCAAAAGATGCCCGTACTTCCCACTTTGTCTTCTTTGAGGGATAATAAATGTCCTGAGTGCTGCCGTCTCCTCCTTTGGCCATTATTTCAGCTTTAGCTTCAAGAAAGTTTTGGTCGTAAACAACAAAGTGCGCATGTGCCGCCGGCAACTTCAGCAGATGATACGGTGGCTGGTAAGGGTCACCGCGCCTACACCGCAGCCACGGTAATCCACCAAGATAATATAGTTTTTTTTAAAAACAAGACAGTTATTATTATTGTCAACTTTTTTACCGGGGTCTACCGCTACACCGGTTACCGTGACAACCCTAGCCATGGGCAGCTCCTTCAGTGGCAGACAGACATCCCAGATGTAAAACAGAATGCTAGCGTAGGTCATTCATCCCCTCGGCAGTAAGAGTGTAGAACTTTACTTTAACTGGTACTGACACTATCCTGGTACACAATAACACAAATGCAATATTTATTATATGTTCAATACTTGTGCAATACCAGATACACATTAGTATTGCTGTGTCTCTTATGCTGCATAGTTCTGGAAACACAAGTTCTCTTTTGATTTGTTGTTTTTAGTGGTTGAGGTTTACAATAATCGCTTATTGTCTTTGTGTTTACTTGTAATCTTGTTATCTTCGTTCTTTTCAAGTGTTCGTGCTGCTGTAGCAAGTGAATTTCCCAACTGCAGGATCAATAACGTCTTTTCTATTCTATTCTGTTCTATAAACTTCACATTGGACATCACTCTGTCGCCCTCTGCTGACCAGAAACTGTACTTAACAGTTTGTTTTGGTAGGAACACTTGTGGGAGCTCTCTACCTGCTTTAAAGCAACACATGTTTACTGTCCCGTTAACTCAAATTAAGGCTAGCAATAAGTTTTTTCAGTTAGCAAATAAAAAGCACAAGAAGGAGAAAAATAAAAAAGGAGAAAAAGAAAAAAGGAAGTATAAGTTTGTTGGCATCATGGTAGAGCCTTGAAGTAGAGTAATGTGTTTGGAGGTGAAGCAAAGGGCTTACACCAGAGTGAGCATTGGCGTGGCCTACACTAGATTGAGGGAGCTAAAGGAGGTGATGAAATCACAGACTGATGGTGACCTGACTTTGTTGCTGCTGGACTTGTAAGTAATTACCGTAATTTCCGGACTATAGAGCGCACCTCAATATAAGCCGAACCATGGATTCATTCATGCCAAGCTTACGTGCGGCAGCACTGTTTCCCTCCTTTACTGCCAGATCGATGGCCTTCAACTTAAATGCGGCATCATATGAACTCATACATGTAGTTACCATGATGAGGGGGTGTGGATTAGAAACGCATTCTTCGTGGTGCCGGCTGCTTGCATATGCTAAATTAAAATGAGCACTTTCTTCCATTTCCACTTTTGACTTCCATCTGTTTCACTTCCTGCTAAAGCGCCCCCTGCAGGTGAAGGAACATCTTCAGTAAAGCCGCACCTCATTATAAGCCGCGTGGTTCAAAGCGTGGGAAAAAAGTAGCGGCTTAAAGTCCGGAAAATATGGTAAATGTTTCTGTCCAACAGTGTGGACCTTTGTATTTTGTGGTTTATTTAGTATGAGTTAGCTCCTGTTAGCGTTAGCTTCAGCAGTCTGCTGCTGTTTTTTTTTATGTAATTCCACTTTCAACCAGCAGGAGGGAGAAGTGGGAAACATTTATTGTTGCATAATTTAATTTAATTTAATCAAAACAGAATCAGTTCCTAAAGACTTACTAATCTGGGCACATAGAGCTGATTACGTCTGGTTTCAACCACAAACACAGTCGTGGAATAACAAGGTAATAACCGTCTGCACCGAGGAAGGTCACATGATTCAAATGATGCTAAAGTGATTCCGAAGGACTTTCTGTAAGTAAATCCAACGGATAATTGAATCCAAGGTTTCAGCTCTAAAATGAACAGCAGCATAATAACGAGCAGAGGAACGCTGTGCGCAGACACCGGCTGTTTGATCCAACGTGGGAACGAAGGGTACTCACGCTGGCAGCTGCCTCCATTGGTTGGATCTCCATAAAAACCAGAGATGCAGCTCTCACAGTGTCGGCCGGTTGTCAGGTCCTCACACTTCTCACACACACTCTCGTTGACACACTGACTGTGACCATTACACTGACAGGCTGCCAAAGAGTAAGCAAAGTACACAATGAATGAACAACACACACAAACACCCTGAGGGCAGAAAATAAACAGCCGCAGGGTCAGACGTGGACGGATGTGTAGGTGCGGTTATGAGCAGACACCACTGTCCGCTCAGTCGGGCCTCTAATACAACAAATCCTCTTACATTGTTACTGACTGCAGCTGAGCTGTCTGACGGTGTAACTGTCCACCGCTGCAGCTCTCTTATTATGGACAAGCTGTCTTCATCCTCCAGACAAATTCAAACTGAATAAGAAGACCAAAATTTTGCCCTCGTGTGGATTGGGTCATAATGCAGCTTGGCACTCGAGTCTTACCGGGGCAGTGAATGAAGGACCAGTTGTACTTGGCTTCACCGGGACACATGCTGGAGTTGAGAGAAGGCAGGGGACTAGCAGGAAAGCCGGGCAGGGTGGACGGGGCCGGGACGGAGGTCTGGAAGGGTCCTCGATAGGAGCCCTCAATGCACTGGCCTCTGCCCGTGTTACTGGGGTCCGTGCACCAACCGCAGCCTGGCTGGTCCAAACACTGCCCACATGTTCTGTAGCCAGAACAGTTTTCAGCTGCAGCAGAACACAACAAAGCACCAGTGATTCGCCTCACACTTCAAACGCCAGCACTTGTCCTAAAGACAGCCCTGTTGGTGAATTAGGTCTAAAATGTTCTGTAAAGACTTCAGAGCCACTAATGGAACCCATACTGAGGTACATACTAATGCCCCTCAAGTAGCTCAGGAGGGGTGTGAACTCTAGCAGGGCCAAGTATAAGACTCTGGTGCAGCAGTTAACATAAAAATACCTAAATAAATGTAGGAAAACAGGAATAGTAGGTCCATGTGTCCATTATTGTGGTTTTAAACTACTCGTGTTTGTCTGCTGCACATATACCAGACATGTCGGTAGCCTGAAGGGAGCCAAGCGAGGCATCTTACGAGGACAGGTGCTCATGGTGAACCACTCCATACACTGTCCGAAGGGGAAGGAGGCCACGTAGGCGTTGGAGTCCACACACTGCTTCATGTTGCTGCACCACATGCACTCTGAGCTGCTGCTGGTGCACTCGCTGCAGGAGGTCCGCATGGCACACGGGGTCCGGCACTGCTTGGCACTGTGGTTTGCTGACACAAACAAATGAATCACACAATCTAAGTATGTGTGGGAGTTTCACCGCGTCTGATCAGCAGTAGTTTCATAAATGAGCTCTACAGAAGGAGGGTAGTTGGGAGCTCACCGGGCCGCTCGCACAAGCTGCCGTTCACCGGGTTGATGCAGGTTTGGGCCTTCAGTCCGCTAAACGCAGATTCGGCCAGATAACCACAAAACCCGGCGTCGCTGGGCTCGCCCGGCAGCCACTGCAGGGTGGTGTTGGTGAAGGGTGACATGTCCTCCCAGCACCAGTATGACACGTTGATTTTCCTCAGACCCACCCAGGGAGTCACCGTGGTTTTGTACTGTGAATAAAATCACAGTAAAATATACGTCTTGAGTTTGATTTTAAAATAAAATATAAAGTGTAATTCCTGCTCAGCTCTTAACCGACGCTGCTTCCAGCTGGGAGCATGGAAACGGAGCCATCACATCTCAGCTAAACGTACAAATGGACGACAGTTTGACAGCTTCCTGGTTTAGTTTCTGAAAACAACTTGATCCTGGTGGCAAACAGGAAGAAAGGCCCAGCGTGTTTCTTGTAACTGCTGCTTTAGCTGAACAAGAGGCAGGTTGGTTATAATCTCCACAGATGAGTGACAACAAGAACTCAGGGTAACTCGTGACTGACGGGTCCTGTCAGAAAACCCGACATGGCAGCAGCTCTGTAGATGTTGGCCTCTCTGAGCTGAAGACCGTCTGGGATGTGAGAACTAATTCAGACGAGGGTTGCAGGGATTAGCAGGTTTGACTATTACCCTCAGTTAACCCCCGTAAAGACGTCTCCAACGCCGCCTATAGTAAACAAAAAGACAAAAGCCCGACCCGCATGGACAAAGACAAAAGTGAAACTGAATGCTCGCACGCAGCAGGGCCGGTGACAGCAACCATCGGGACTGCTCCATTTCCATCTAGGAAGCGGTTGAAGTCTCCTGTGGTGAAATATAGCCCCACAGGAGACTTCACCTGCCTTCGTCTTTGTCCGTGCGGGTCACGCGTTTGTCTTCTATAGGTGGAGTTATGGGGGTTAACCGGGGTCATACCGGTTAATCCCTGCAACCCTAACTCAGACAAGAAAAGCCTCCGTCACCTCCCTGTTCGGGAGCTCTGTTGGAACTCCAGCGTCTTTGTCCTGTTTACCACCAGTTCACTTTTACTGTGGAAGGAGAGCCATCTAAGAAGGTGTCCATCTTTAGGTGAACTCTCTCTTGCCCAGAATTCCTTTGATATTCTGATTCTGCACAGAAAGAAAAGACATCTAACTCCTGCAGGAGCTCCTGTAGATTACTCTGCTTTTGCTGAGCTCAAAGCTCTACACCACATGGGTAGCATTAGTACCTTCTCCTCTTCCTCCTTACCATCACATTCATGATCTGCAGCTCCTTCAGGACAAAGTCCACCTTCTTCTGTGTGGTGAGCGATGCCAGGACAGCGTTGTGGTTCCTGCAGGCCAGCTTGGCATTATCGTAAGACTCGTTTGTGGTGTTGAATTTCAGACAGGAGTTCCCCACCAGGTGCCAGGTTTCACCACACACGTTTTCTGTTCCAGAGAGAACAGGTGTTGGTACTGCAGGGACCTAAAGTTATCACTCAGGCCGACTAGTAACAGCTAACCATTAGCATTAGCAACTCCACCACACAACGTAACTCCTCCAGGCTCGTGTTATTTGTGGAGATAAAACATCAATATTGCAGAGCAGACTAAGTGATTGGTAGAGTCGTGCTGCTGTTAGCCGATCAAAGGACAGACGTCCAAATCTCCTCCGGCTGACCCGCTGCATCTGAGCCTTTTAATCCCAGAGAAGGACCTACAAGGCGTTCATTCCTACTAGAGACAACTGCTGATGTGCTAGCATACGAGTAACATCGACCTTTACACTGACTGAAACAGCAGCCAGACTCCAAAGAATTTCTCCGGAGGACCTTCAGAAGGTCTGGAGAAAAATGGATCTGGCTGCTGGGAAGGAAAACAGGAAAACACACGGAGGAACTGTAAACTTCCACGGGTAACGGTGCGTTTTATTAAAAAATGCGGTTTTAAACAAAAGTTTTGTTTTTCCTCTAACTTAGTTCCAGATGCTGTTGATGAATCCATTGTTTTTACAAGAATTCACAGGAAATGAACCTTTCCTTGGCCCAGGATGTAATGAAGTTTTCCAGCTTCCTCACACTGCTTCTTGTTCCTGTTGGGTTTTCTGTGTAGTTAACAGAGTGAAAGTGAGGAAGTCAGCTCAGTGGGTGTGATAACAGTCACTACCTGGCAGTGAGATGCACTCCTGGTTGCGAATGTCCCACTGGCAGTTCTGGTCCACGGCGCAGCTCTTGCAGCTGGTTTTCTTGTTGCACACATACGAGGGGTTGTCTTTGGGGCAAACGTCAAACTCTGCTATGGCTCCCTGGGAAGAGGAAGGCCATCAGCTCAGCCAAGTGCACAAACAAAACAATCGTGTCCAAGAGCAAGAGCACATATGTCACAGAAAGCCCGTCGTTAGTCTCAAGGGCAACCTGCTGGCTCGATTATCACCTGTAAGTCACGCTGTACGTAGACATTTCCTGACTCACAAACGTTTAAAAGTTTAGGATGCAGTGCAGAAAAAGACACACGATGCCTGGATTTCACCAGCCGCGGAAGCGCAACGATGCGCTGCACAGCGCTGTGGAAGGAAGACCGCTTCTATTTGGCGCCCTTGTTAACCTACGGTCGCAATCACATCAGCTGTGAAGCGCGAAGAAGGCTCGCGACGAAGGCTCGCGACGTGCAGCCATCTTTCTGGTGAGGGCTCTATTTTTTTGTGAGCCGTGTCAATACTGGCAGGAAGCTAACCAAAACAGAAGAGGCGAGCCGGTAAATTTAAAGAGCAAGTAACGTCTAAATTAACTTTTTTTTGCTGATGAACTGTATAAATGAGTGTCTAATAGTGTTTTAAATGTGTGTATTCATTATTTTAGCATTTTGGTGCATTTTCTTTAAAAATTAAACATTCTGCCTAAATACCACAGTATTCAATTCAATTCAATTCAAAAATACTTTATTAATCCCAGAGGGAAATTGATTGCTGTAGTAGCTCAGAATAATAGTAATATAGCCATAATAATATATAATAATAATATATACAGATGTGGGCATTTTACCCGCGATTCTGCACGTCTCCGTTTGAAGAGGGAGGCTGCCCACCGTGGCTCTTCCACGATTTAGATGCAGCCCACCGACTCTGCTCCCCCACCACGGCGGGCTCCAGACTGAGGTGAGTACGCTAAATAAACATTTTAACATCTTCTAAAGACAATTCCCTACCTAAATGCAAAGTCTGAGAGACGTGGTTCACTTCCTTTAGCTAGTCAGTCGGCAATTCTGCAACAGTGGCTCTAACTGACGCAGCACTTGACAGACAGCATTACAGCGTGAAATCCAGCTTGTGAACAGGTTCTGTGAGGAATTCTGTTCAGGAGGTCGCATTTCAGGCTTTCCACATCATGTGTGACTGACTTTTACGTTAATGATCACACACTAGGAATGTTATAAAGGGCCTATATAGGACAGTTTCTTTTGTATATTATCTGACTTTATAAACTCCCAACAACAATGTGCTTATATATTTTTTTCAGGCTAAATCTACCCAAGACACTGGCTGTCAGACTGATTTAGCTGCAAGAATGCACTTGTCCAGGCTGACGTGAAGCCTTCCCTGTAGCAAAGGTGAATTATTTTTAATAATCTTCTATGTAAACTAGTTTTAATTTATTTTACAGATTATTGTTACACGTGATTTTATGCTCTTTGAAACATTTATAAATGTGCTGCTTCTTTGTTTTTACATAGCCAGCCAGAATGGAGTTCACAGCCGCAGTGTGTCTGGTGACCCACAGGGACCATGATGAAAATTCATCTTCCAGAAGGTCCCAGAGCAGCGTCCACACCCCTGAAAAGACCAAGGTGTGAGGTGTCTGCTGTTGATTCCAGCTTCCACCTCAGTGACAGTGCAAGCTCAGTGAACTGTTCAAGGTAAAAAAAAATTAAAATATTTCAGAATTTTTAAGATATTAACAATTAAATAAGTATGTGATTACATCATGACATCATGACGGAGGCTACTGATTCTGCCCCCGTGATACTTGGTGGTGACGTGTGAGCTGATTCACCTGGAAAACAACTTTTACATTACATATTTTGTTTTTGCTATCAAAAGTAAATTAACTAATAACCTGCATTATTGCAGGACACTCAGCAAAATATGGACTCTACACCATGAGGCATGCACACATTAATACTCTATAAGAGCACATAAGGTGAGCAACACCACATATGATGTGTGTGTGTCCTGAATTTGTTTTCTTTCTGCATCTCATTAGCCTGGCTGATCACCTGATAACTCCTGTCATCTGGTTATGACAGCATGAGGATGTCCTCACACACCTGTAACCTATCAGCTCATCTGGCAGAATAGAGAGAGAAGAGTCAACACCACATCTCCTGTTCCTGGAAAGCCTTCAGCCATCCTTCGATGACTGAGAACCTCCATCAGCTCTGTCTCCTGTCTGCCTACAATTATTATAATAAATATTGTGTTTGACAAGTTTTTTGTGCTGCCAAATATCTCATATAGATTCCAGTTTTGATATTTTAATGGATCTTTATAAATTACATTGATTATCACATTTTTGTTGCATGTTTAACTAGCTCTATTGTGATGAATTAAACTAGCACCTCACTGTTAAAAGCTCGTTTTAATTTCAAGCATGTTTACGTATTTATGGACATGAACAACAACAGGAAATATATAAATTGAGATTTATTTAATTAATATAACAAATAAGGGGGAAAGAGTCATTGAAAGGCACATTCTTCTGGAAGCTCCTGATCCTGATGGCACCAGCAGGAGACCAGCTGCAGACACCAGAGGATCACCTGCAACCAAGAGCAGCTAGTATCAGTAAATAATAATGAAATCAGGGCAGTTTTAGTGGGCTGAACACATTACAGAATATTTTTCTCATGGGATATTTTCATAACTTTAGGCAGCAGACTGTAGCTTGAGCCCAGAGCTCCTGGAGACCTGCTATCCAGCACGTTTCAGTAGATTTTCCTGCTTTAACAGGTTAGATTAGCTGTTAAGCAGCTCAGCTATTTGTTGCTGATTAAAACCAGGTGTGTTGAAGCAGATAAACCTCTAAAACATGCTGAATACTAGCTCTAGGGCCGTGGAGGCAAACCCTGCAGCTAATCGGATGCTATGGCTAACGGCTACTTACCATTCAGAGCTGGTTCTGTTGGGTCGGTTCCACTAGTTTCAGGCAACTCACAAGCTCACAACAATAAGGCTCAGGTCCGCTTGTCTCCTCCAAATAGACTTGGTCCCTTTCTTCTCGAGTGTCTGGGTAAGGAGGGGGAGAAAAGTCCTCCACTTCTAATAACTGCTCAGAGTGAAGGGAGTTAGCTTGTCTCGTTACCCATCGTCTTCGTCACTGCCGCGGCTCCGCCCTCTCGGTCCTCCAGGCAATGCCTACTAATGTTGCATTTTTTAAAATTGATACGTGGGTGGAGTAAGACTCTGAGGGGGACATTACCACGTCTTTAACAAAATAAAGAATGTTTTCAAAATAAAACACTGCGATTGATGAATGTGATCATTTCTGGCAGAGATGAAAATGAACAAAGACACACACACACACACTCCTGTGGAGAAACAGCATTTCCATAATTTTAAATGCACTTTTTACAGCAAATGATGGATTTAATAAATGTGAATACAAACAAACACATTTAATTGAACACATTGAAGGTTCAAGCCCCGCTCAGTCTGTCGCTGTCGTTGTGTCCTTGGGCAAGACACTTAACCCACCTTGCCTGATGGTGGTGGTCGGAGGGACCGGTGGCGCCTGCGTACGGCAGCCTCGCCTCTGTCAGTGCGCCCCAGGGCAGCTGTGGCTACATCGTAGCTCATCCCCACCAGTGTGTGAATGTGTGTGTGAATGGGTGAATGACTGATTGTGTTGTAAAGCGCCTTGGGGGGTTTCAGGACTCTAGAAGGCGCTATATCAAATACAGGCCATTTACCATTTACTACCACAAACACTAAATATTTACTTACTCATTTAGAAAGAAACTACAAAACAGCAGCAGGATCAGAGCAGTTTCTGATATCCACAGGCTGGGCAAAGTGGTTACACACACCCACACACACACACACACACAGCAAGGGCATGGGGCGGTAGGGTTTGGAAAACAGTAGGCGTGAGCAGAAGCGCTCTATGAAAAGTCTCGCCTGAGCCTTGAACAGAGGAGCAGCGGGCAGCGCGTGGATTTGGTGAGCGATCCACTTCGCAGCGCTCTGCAGCTGATGTGATCCAGGCGTGAGCTAGGTCTGTGCATGTGACAGCTTCCTAATGACGACTGGTTTGATCACAGATGAGCACAGAGCTGCAGAAAGATGGTGCTTCATCATGTTTGACACGTCTCAAACTGCAAGAAACTCGCCGAGGAAATCAGCTGATGCTTCATCATGAGAAGACTTGTAGGTACTGAAACTACGAAGTGCCAGAAGATTCTCGATGACGAGTGAAGACGGGTCAAACACAGTAAAATGATGAGTAAATGAATACATTTCACTGTAATGTCGAGTTGTTGGTGACTGAAAAAGTAGCTTTTTTAGAGTTTGTGTTTCCAGTTCACCGTCTAGCCTGCTTCACCCAACAGAGAACAACAAAACGTTGCTTTGGCTTCTTAGAGGTACAAGAAATAACTTATGGCTTCGGTTCACTGCTGCATTTCGCCGGCTGATGCTGAATCAGCGTCAGCTTTGTGCAGACTTGGCAACCCTGTGAGCTCAGAGATGGAGACAGTAACTACGTCCCTCTTTGTCCCGCCCTTCCTTCCACCTCCATCGAGACGTTACCTTTATTAAGCACTGAGGCATGTTGTGAAAAACCTTTAGTGCTTTATTTTATTGCGAGATGGAGACAGAAACGCATAAAAACCCTTGATGACTCAAACATCACTACTCTAAAATATCATGAAGTAACTGGTCATGTGACAGGGACAGTTGTGTGTGTGTGTTTGCGTGTGCGTGTGTGTGTGTGTGTGTGTGTGTGTGTGTGTGTGCGTGCGTGCGTGCGTGCGTGCGTGCGTGCGTGCGTGCGTGTGTGTGTGTGATGCTCAGCTGCTGCAACAGAACCTGCAGGAGATAATTCAATAGTCTTGGTGCTGTGGCGAAGGCAGCCTGAGGAACCCTTATTTGGGTCGGCTAAAAGGTGTGGAAGCACGCAGCGGGACTGCTCTGGTCTCCTGATGCAAGAATGTTCTGCTTCCTCCATCCTTACCGCTGCCTTTCAGCAGAACATCATTATTTATAAAGCCTCCTGAAGGCCCCGGGGGACGGAAGCGTTCTTACCATGGAGGCGGTGCAGTTGCTTCCCAGAGACAGACACTGGCCTGAACACCACTGGCAGCTGTTGGTGTTGGCGGTGCAGCTGTAGCAGTCTGTATACTGGTCACACCTCTCATTATCAGCATCTGCAACGTTTCCGAAAACATTTCATTACCTTTGTTCTCCAAGACGCCTTCAAAGCCTCGAACAGAAAGAGATAAAAAGCCTTTTCAGGCGTGTGAAAGATTTAACACGCCACCCAATAGTGGTTAAAATGACGTTCACATGTCTCTGCATCATAAAGGTTTGTGTTTATTTTAGACACAGGCAGCAGTCTCATCATTTATAGTTTGTTATGAATCCTAATCTGAAGCCTCCTAGGTCCCCAGGTGAATTTCTCTGGCTCGGACTCGAACCCGGTTCAAGGTCTTAGTGAAAACCTGCACATCTGGTTTCTTCTGAAGAGACAGAGTGCCGAGTGTCCACCCGCTGCAGAAAATCAGCCTCTCTTTATTATTTATTTCTTCTCTCTCACTTTGTAACAGTACATGTCCTGCAGCAGGGACACCTGGGTAAACTGTCACTGATTATCATCTTCTCCTGTCTAGTGCAATGAATCCCAGACAATCGGGATTAAGGAAACTGGAAGCATCACCATAGGTTAGTCTGGAATTTACTTAGAGAAAAGCTTACTTAACAATCCTCTTGTCACAGCTTTTAGTAACAGATCAAATGTGTGTGGCATACTTTTGTTTGTAACATATCAAAACCGTGTAGTTTTCCTTTAAACGACTTACTTACAGGACGTGTGCCAGTGCAGCATCTTGCCCACATTCGTGTCACTTACTGGATCTTTTGTTGCAGAAGGCGGGGAGCTGCTGATCTGAGCCCGTATCGCTGCTCTCCCATGCCAGGCAGAGCTCCTGGGTGCTGTTCCAGATGCAATGGATCCCAGGCCAGGACTGGCTGCAGGATGCGGGGCTGGAAAAGGCGGCGCAGCTGGGCGAGGTGTACATCAGGACGTCACTGAGCAGCAGGCTGTTGAAGCCCCCGAACACGTACATCACACTGAGACAAACGGGGGAGAAGGAGGGAAGCAGGAAGCATGAGAGAGCTGGGTGTTTATCAGAGACCTGGGGAATAACATGTTCTGCTCATGCATGTGTGGGGTTAGCATGTTCTGCTCATCATGCATGTGTGAGGTTAGCGTGTTCTGCTCATGCATGTGTGGGGTTAGCATGTTCTGCTCATCATGCATGTGTGGGGTTAGCATGTTCTGCTCATCATGCATGTGTGGGGTTAGCATGTTCTGCTCATGCATGTGTGGGGTTAGCAGGTTCTGCTCATGCATGTGTGGGGTTAGCGTGTTCTGCTCATGCATGTGTGGGGTTAGCAGGTTCTGCTCATGCATGTGTGGGGTTAGCATGTTCTGCTCATGCATGTGTGGGGTTAGCGTGTTCTGCTCATGCATGTTTGGGGTTAGCATGTTCTGCTCATGCATGTGTGGGGTTAGCATGTTCTGCTCATGCATGTGTGGGGTTAGCAGGTTCTGCTCATGCATGTTTGGGGTTAGCTTGTTCTGCTCATGCATGTGTGGGGTTAGCATGTTCTGCTCATGCATGTGTGGGGTTAGCGTGTTCTGCTCATGCATGTGTGGGGTTAGCAGGTTCTGCTCATGCATGTTTGGTGTTAGCATGTTCTGCTCATGCATGTTTGGGGTTAGCATGTTCTGCTCATGCATGTGTGGGATTAGCGTGTTCTGCTCATGCATGTGTGGGGTTAGCGTGTTCTGCTCATGCATGTGTGGGGTTAGCATGTTCTGCTCGTGCATGTGTGGGGTTAGCGTGTTCTCCTCATGCATGTGTGGGATTAGCGTGTTCTCCTCATGCATGTGTGGGGTTAGCGTGTTCTGCTCATGCATGTGTGGGGTTTGCATCTTCTGCTCATGCATGTGTGAGGTTAGCGTGTTCTGCTCATGCATGTTTGGGGTTAGCGTGTTCTCCTCATGAATGTGTGGGGTTAGCGTGTTCTGCTCATGCATGTGTGGGGTTAGCGTGTTCTGCTCATGAATGTGTGGGGTCAGCATGTTCTGCTCATGCATGTGTGGGGTTAGCATGTTCTGCTCATGCATGTGTGGGGTTAACGTGTTCTGCTCATGCATGTGTGGGGTTAGCATGTTCTGCTCATGCATGTGTGGGGTGAGCGTGTTCTCCTCATGCATGTGTGGGGTTAGCATGTTCTGCTCATGCATGTGTGGGGTAAGCGTGTTCTGCTCATGCATGTGTGGGGTTAGCGTGTTCTGCTCATGCATGCTTGGGGTTAGCATGTTCTGCTCATGCATGTTTGGGGTTAGCATGTTCTGCTCATGCATGTGTGGGGTTAGCGTGTTCTGCTCATGCATGCTTGGGGTTAGCGTGTTCTCCTCATGAATGTGTGGGGTTAGCGTGTTCTGCTCATGCATGTGTGGGGCTAGCGTGTTCTGCTCATGAATGTGTGGGGTCAGCATGTTCTGCTCATGCATGTGTGGGGTTAGCATGTTCTGCTCATGCATGTGTGGGGTTAGCGTGTTCTGCTCATGCATGTGTGGGGTTAGCATGTTCTGCTCATGCATGTGTGGGGTTAGCATGTTCTGCTCATGCATGTGTGGGGTGAGCGTGTTCTCCTCATGCATGTGTGGGGTTAGCGTGTTCTGCTCATGCATGTGTGGGGTTAGCGTGTTCTCCTCATGAATGTGTGGGGTTAGCGTGTTCTGCTCATGCATGTGTGGGGCTAGCGTGTTCTGCTCATGAATGTGTGGGGTCAGCATGTTCTGCTCATGCATGTGTGGGGTTAGCATGTTCTGCTCATGCATGTGTGGGGTTAGCGTGTTCTGCTCATGCATGTGTGGGGTTAGCATGTTCTGCTCATGCATGTGTGGGGTTAGCATGTTCTGCTCATGCATGTGTGGGGTGAGCGTGTTCTCCTCATGCATGTGTGGGGTTAGCGTGTTCTGCTCATGCATGCTTGGGGTTAGCGTGTTCTCCTCATGAATGTGTGGGGTTAGCATGTTCTGCTCATGCATGTGTGGGGCTAGCGTGTTCTGCTCATGAATGTGTGGGGTCAGCATGTTCTGCTCATGCATGTGTGGGGTTAGCATGTTCTGCTCATGCATGTGTGGGGTTAGCGTGTTCTGCTCATGCATGTGTGGGGTTAGCATGTTCTGCTCATGCATGTGTGGGGTTAGCATGTTCTGCTCATGCATGTGTGGGGTGAGCGTGTTCTCCTCATGCATGTGTGGGGTTAGCGTGTTCTGCTCATGCATGCTTGGGGTTAGCATGTTCTGCTCATGCATGTTTGGGGTTAGCATGTTCTGCTCATGCATTTGTGGGGTTAGCGTGTTCTGCTCATGCATGTGTGGGGTTAGCGTGTTCTGCTCATGCATGTGTGGGGTTAGCGTGTTCTGCTCATGCATGCTTGGGGTTAGCATGTTCTGCTCATGCATGTTTGGGGTTAGCATGTTCTGCTCATGAATGTGTGGGGTCAGCATGTTCTGCTCATGCATGTGTGGGGTTAGCATGTTCTGCTCATGCATGTGTGGGGTTAGCGTGTTCTGCTCATGCATGTGTGGGGTTAGCATGTTCTGCTCATGCATGTGTGGGGTTAGCATGTTCTGCTCATGCATGTGTGGGGTGAGCGTGTTCTCCTCATGCATGTGTGGGGTTAGCGTGTTCTGCTCATGCATGTGTGGGGTTAGCGTGTTCTGCTCATGCATGCTTGGGGTTAGCATGTTCTGCTCATGCATGTTTGGGGTTAGCATGTTCTGCTAATGCATTTGTGGGGTTAGCGTGTTCTGCTCATGCATGTGTGGGGTAAGCGTGTTCTGCTCATGCATGTGTGGGGTTAGCGTGTTCTGCTCATGCATGCTTGGGGTTAGCATGTTCTGCTCATGCATGTGTGGGGTTAGCATGTTCTGCTCATGCATGTGTGGGGTTAGCGTGTTCTGCTCATGCATGCTTGGGGTTAGCATGTTCTGCTCATGCATGTTTAGGGTTAGCGTGTTCTCCTCATGCATGCGTGAGTTTTCTCCCATAGATCAAAATCATGCATGCATGCATGCTTTTAACTGTATTTCTTTATTCACAAATATAAGCCACTTAGAATAAAGGTTTTGCTAAATAAATTAGTGATATGAACCACGGCCGCGTTGCTGTAAACCCCATGTTGTTTCCCTTAATGTGATCAGTTAAAGGCTTGAACAAACCACCAACTGCTCCTGAGGAGCAGAGGCATCTGAAAGCCTGAGTCACACACAGCTGGGGATACGTGTTAATATTTGATGTGTTCTCTGCAACAGGATGTATAACTTAATGTGGCTCCCTGTCTCTCGCTCTGCTGGCAGTGATGATGATACTTGATGAGTCATCACTTCTGTTCTCAGCAACACATCATTATCTATTGGTAACAGGGACTAAATCCAATATGGCTACAAAAAAATCCTTTCCTGTCTTGAATGTCTGTTTGTTCTATTTATTCAGTTTAAGTTCAGCCAGAAGTCTTGTCCGTCTGTTGCTGACTAACTTAGAACACTGCTGCTGCTGAGCGTGTGAAATAGCCCTCATACATCGCCAGGCAACAGTTTCTATAGTCAGACTGAAAATCTATAGAGCATCAGATCTGGGAAGGAACGTATAATAAAAACGCTCTGATGTCTCATGGTTACCTGTCACTAAAAACTGCAGAGTGTCCAAAGCGGTTGACATCATGGTGGAGGTCTGGCCGGGGCAGCACGGTCCAGTCATCACACACTGGAATAGGAAGAAGTTCAAGAGGTCAAAGTGATGACCTGCTTTCACACCATAAATCACACATCCTCTACACGCCTCGGGTGTCTGGAGAGACCTTTAACAAGTCCTCTCCCTGAGTCCATCAAAGAGTCCTTGAATGAGAGGCAAAGGGGCTTCGGAAGCAGCGAAGATAACAAGTAAAAGGCCGTCTGCTCTGAGCCGAGTTGAGAGCTCGGAGAGCTGCTGCTCAAACTGTTTATGTCAGATGTGTCCAAACTTCAGGGTGGGTTTAAAAATCCCTAAGTTGAGCTTCCTCTCTGAAAGAAACGTGATTGTTTTATATTGAAACATTCAATTTATCAAAGACTACAGCACTCTAATGAAAACTGCAAAGATGTGAGTCTGCAGATCTGAGGCATGAAAAGCATCAGACGTGTGTGGGTCTGAAGAGTAAAGGAGAGTCCGTTATCAGCGACAGGAGCAGGTTCTGTCACACCAGTCATCCACGACTGAGGCGAAAGCTGCACATTCATGAGGAGTCGCTGCCCTCTGCTGCCACGTGGCGGTACTACAAGGGTATTTCAGCTTGAACAGGCGATGTGGGGACACCAGGCGGGCTCTAGGTTCTGCAACGATGCTGCAGCTGCCGGGTGGGCGTAAGCATCTCCTCACAGATAAAACTAATACACCAAATTAGAAACACTGAGATTAAACACTCACTAAAGCAGGCAGTGAGTGATCAAGGTGAAGAAAGGCTGAATGTGCACTACATGTGGATGACAGAAAACCAGAATATCCTGATATCTTCTAAAGGGTTAGGGTTAGGGTTCCCAGTCCCAGAAGACTGAAGCCTCAGACTAATGAGCAGCACGTGATGGCGTGGCAGGAAGAGGCCAACTTGACTTACACCGGATTTAACAGACAATTGAAAATGAGACGGCAGAGATGGTTTGTGGTGAAGCTCTGCCAACCGCCATTAGGGCTCAGAGGAGCCTGAAACCCATTTTTATCTAATGAGTGAAGGCAGGAAGCTGATTTTATAAGCTTCTCTTGTTTCTTCATGCAGAACGGGTTCTGCGTGACCTCTTATATGAACAGCTGCACCTTTTCACGTTGGCTCACTCATTTAGTCAAAAGTCTCAAACAGGAAGAGAAGATACCGGACTTCATAATAAAAGTGCTGCTTAGTGACTCCGTTTGAATGAAGATCTTGTTAATCACACAACTGCTGGACACTCCTCCACCTCCCTCCACCTCCTGGTGAGCACTGCTCTCCCGTGGAGTCTGTCCGCAGGAAGCCCTCAGGGTCACCACTACGGGCAGCACCAACACCCGCCTAGCTGCAACGGGGGTGTCAGCATCAGGAAGATGACTGGAATTATTATTTCTTTTTATAGAAGCGCCAAAAGCAATTTAGTCACGCTCACCACGGAGAAAAGGAGTTTAATGCAGCTGTTAAGAAAGTTCTGAAATATTAGCAACTAATCAGGAACATGTGACATTCAGAACTATTCAGAAAGCTGCCACCTCGTGATGAGTGTGTGTGTGTGTGTGTGTGTGCGTGCACGCGCTGACCCAAGCTGTAGGCCAAGAAGTCTGAGGAGAAACACTTGGCGCCGTGGCTCATGGACGTATCGTTGTGTGTGTTTCCTCCAAACACCAGCAGGGCTCCACTCACGATCACCGCCGTGTGAAGGTAACGGAAAAAACCGCTGTCCTTCAGAATGGTCCTACACACAGAGGTCAAAGGTCATTCATGTTTACATAGAACTGTTCATCTACATTAACAGCTTCCTATGAAAACCTTTACTGTGAAGTTGCTGTAATTTCTTTAGAGTTCACTAATCTCGTTTTAGCTGCTGATGTACTCATTTGAGTCATCCACACGTCGGCTAGATGGAGACACCTGATTGGCTGTTAGCTCCTCTTAAGGGAAAAGCCCAAAGAGGAAAGATGTTGACACTGCTAATAAAAACTGCGTAGAAATCAAAAGAACAAATGACAAATCTGGTTTCTTTCGATAACCTTCTTGGTCACACCAGAACCACCTCTCACCATTTCCTCTTGTCCACGTCGAGCCGGTACAGGTCTCCTGCGAGTCCGTACTTGTTGGCGCTGAAGGCCTTGTAGCCTCCGTGGATGTAGATGGCTCTGGTGCCGGGGTCGAAGACGCTGCTGTGGCCGTAGCCGCCCTGCACCAGAGCGCCGTCCAGACTCACAATGCTCCAGGTGTTCTTTACTGAAGGGTCACAAACAGACTCACATCAACATCACGTCCCAAAGTATGAAACGACTGCAGAATTTAGTCTCATGAGTTAACACGGTTCATCTCCATTCCTCCTACTGATGAGTTTCTCTCTCAGAGACACCACATCCCTGTTACTCGGGTTAGGCGGGCGGTGTACGTCAGCACCACCTCCTGCTTACCAAGGTTGTATTCCTGCACATGGCTGATGTAACCGAAGTGAGGACAGTGTCCAAACAGGACCAGCATAACAGGACTGTCCCCCTCCTTTATGGGAGGAACAATGTGGGCCGAGTGTCCCACCACAGCGTACTGGTCCTTAGGCCGAGGGCTGAGAAGAACCCATGTTTGGTTCTGGATGTGGAAAACCCACAGCTGGCTGGACACGTTTCCAGTTGAGTCGATCTTTCCTCCGTACATGTAGATCTTCCCCTGAGAGAGAGGCAAATGTTTCAAATGGAATAATCCAGATTACAGAGCAGTGACAGGGAACGGGATGCTGGGGTTCGTACCCGCAACTAGACAAGGCCCTGACTTCACACAGATGACTGTTCTGATGAATCCAACAAAGAAGTGGACTACATGGAGACTGGCTCATGTGCTCTTTGGAGTCTCAGCGACTACGTTACAAAAACATTCTACAATTGTTTGTCCTTCAAAGTGTTTTATTTTTGTGAAGACGTTTCATTTC